GTTTGAAGGGCATTCCTAGATTTAATGGTTGGGCTCAATGATCTTAAAGGTCTTTTCCAACCTAAAGGTTTCTATGTAAAAAGTTGCTCAGTCAGCGGTTGGAGTTCATCAGCTGGTTGCTGTCTGGCCTTTTAGCAGTCATCAGATGGTGCTTAATAATACTCTACTGTTGTCAGGCATCTGTGTGTAGTGTAATTAACTGCATCAAATTGAAAACTGCTAGCAGGAAACTTTGGCAAATTGCTTCTGACCATCTCAATATTAAACTTGCTCTCTTTTAGGGGCATCTGGTTCTGGTCAGAGGAAAAGCAAGGGTGGTAAAGTGAGCCCTACCAACTTCTCATCGTCCACTCCTAGCAGTCGACTGGGTGGCAACATAGTTCTGCCAAATGGGGGGCTGACAATAAGGGACCCTGCCACTGGAGCCCAGTATGTGCAAATTCAGCTTCTTCAGGTAAGACCTGAGGAGGAAAAACATGTTCATCTTCTCTGTTAGCTAAACTGGCACATTTATGGAAGGACCTGACTACCTGCCAATTTGGGCGCTATTGCCCCAAAATGGGATCTTGAGATCTGTGGTATGTACCGTGTCCGTTAGGGCATTTGCCTGCAAGAAACACTTTCCTTGGAAATTCATATGAAACTGGCTTTGGAGAGATCTAGAAATGCCAGAAACCAGAGCTGGTTCACTAGTACAACTAGGGGCTCCAACAATTGTGTTGCAGGAACGGGTAAGATGTTCTATTTGGTTCAGTAGTAATACCCAGTCCAGCCGGGAATATATGGGCACTGTAGCTGTAGGGAACATCCTGTTCAGCTTCTGAGGCTGTATACACTTGATGGAGGGAGCACTTGTGATGAGTTTTAGCAAGCTTCCTTTTGGCATGGTGATCTTTCAAGGGCTGATTTAAATCATAGTATATCATAGGTAAAAATACCTTTCCAGGTATCTCTGTGGCTCTAGGCCTTACTAGTAGGGTGGCTTTATCAGATGAGGCCAAGTGAAATTTGCCACGTTGTGCTGGGATGCTCAAAGGTCTGGTAACTGCATCATGTTTCTGTATTCCCAGGATGATTCCCCGGGAGAGGGGGATCTGCCCTTTCAACTGAGCTCTCAGTCTTCCTCGTCGCATTCTCAGCTTACAGTGGATTTACCTGTTCACATACTTCAGGTACAGCATGTCAGAGCCCTTGGGTCTTATTACCTAGCTTGAAAGTGAAGACAGTTTAGGGTGAGCACTCTGGTGTTCAGCCTAATGCTAATACCTTGTTTTTCATTGGGAGTTCAATTTCACTTACAAGAAGCAGTAAGCAGAGAGCTGCACTGCGAGATTGATCTTGTCTGTGTCACCAACCTTTGACATGTCCCAGGTGGTTGTTTTTCTTCCTGTTTCTGAATAATGAGTAACTAAATGTTTACTCATTTACTACTGAAGTGCCCCATCCGTGTTCTCTTGATCCCATCCTGCAGATATTAAGTGGGTCAAGAGAGGAGATCAGAATTGATATGTAACAGGCTACAGGAGAGGAGGGAAGCGGGAAATGAAATCTTGAGCCTAGATTTCAGTGGTGTCTATATGAGAGTGGCACTTAAGTTAAAAAGCCTGCTCACTTCTGCAGTCTGTGGTTTCAGTGCTTGCCCTTGTTCACTGCTGAGTGTCAGTGGTGCTTGAACACAGAAAGCTTCATACAGCTTCTTGTGTAAAGGTTTTGTTACCTGCTGTTCTGCTAAACTGCAAGTTAGAGACTGGGAGCAGCTGAGAGCTGAGCAGTGAAGGATTGGCATGGACGTAAAACCACGTTTTGTACTTGCCCATCTGGGGCTTTGGTTTTGATATACTCTGAGTGCAGTTATTCTTACCAAGTGTGCTTCTCCTGGATACAAGATAAAGCTTCAGTATTTGAGAGGAGCACTTACTGTGGTAAACCTAGAAATACAAGAAGAGTGATAGGATCATTGGCCATGGTAGAGAGTTAAGAAAGGAAAAACAAATAATGATTTTAAATTGGTCTCCATTAGTCATGCTTATCTGAAGTATTCCAGACAAAAACCTTTTGAGTGGGGCCCAAAGGTAGGAAAGCTTTGGGTTTCCTCTAAACCATTGAAAGCATTTTGCTGGTGTTGGATAAATGTCAAGGGGGTCTTACTGATAAGCACTAAAAGCATCAAGAGGTGAAAGCACTGACCTCCTCATGGTGTCTGTTTGCTTTAACAGGAACCACACAATTCCACTGAAGATGATGCAGGTTCTGATAATTCTCAGTTCACTGGAAGCACAATAAACTTACAGGATCTGGAATGACTGTTATTAAGAAGAGTTACTTGAAAACAAATCGAGCAATCACGTCTTGACAGAGTGAGATAACTGTGGTGGGTCTTTTTCCAAGGAAAATAGGAAAACCAGGAGTCCTGGATGATGGTTGCACTCTTTGCAATTTGCTAGGGACAGTTACAGCTGAGAGATGTTCTTGCAAGATGTAAATCCCACTTGATGTGCCTGTGTAAGATACCCTGTCTGCCTGGAGGCTGGCGAGGCTGAGGCAGACTGCTGTACAGTGTTGTTTCAGGGAGAAGTACTGTATTAAACTTCAAACTGAGGTAATATTTACTGTTTTCACAGGAAAGCAAGTATTCTACAGCTAACACATACGAATTTATCCTGCCTACAACAGTTCAAACCTTCCTTCTGCTGTTCTCCTCTGGAGCCAGTGGCATTGAGGAATTAAGAGCTAAACTTTGCAAGTGTTCTTCCACGCTCGCGCACACACACACACACACACACACACACACACACAAATAATTGTTTGGCCCCTGTGTTTTAGCAGAAAACTGGACTAAAATTGTCACACGTAACGAAATGAATGTCCCACACCATGAAAATGAGATGCTGTCAAATCTCTGTTTTAGGAAGCTAGATTCTAAACGTTACCTTAACTGTGAATCAGTTTGTAGCTCATGTTGAGTTTCTCCCTTTCCTCGCTCCTGCATCCCAAGTACTTTGCTGAATTCTTCCAGCAAAACTTGAAAACTGCAATAGAACTGTACTCACTGCCAGTGAGGAGTGAGGAGTCCAGCAGCATCCGAGAGGTTCGTTTTCATCTTTGTGTTCCCTTTCTGGGGAGGAATGTTGACCGTCACATAAATTTAAGCACCTTGATTTTTGTCTCCTCTGCAAACTGCTGCCAAGTTACCTGTGAACTGGCCACTACCTTTTTACTTCGGGTTGGGTTGTTTTGTTGGGGATTTTTTTATGGAACACTGTTAACACTTGTTCTTTCTTGCTATCCCAGAGTGTCACATACACGTGGAGCTTCCAACTGGTTTACAGACTATGCCATGGTCAAGAGTATTTTATGGGGGGAGACAGTTGTTACGTAGGAAGATTCGCCCCACTGAAAACCTGCAGTTTCTCTTGGGGGCGGGGGGAGAGGTTGTATGTACTGTACTTATCTGGATTGCAGACACCTAAATAACTGTAGGGTTGTATAGGAAACAAGAAGACCACCTTTGGTTACATTTTAAGGTAGTAATTTAAATGTTTCTTATGGTGATGTACTGAATGCCTACCAAATGCTGTATAGGAGTTTGCTAAGAGGGTGTATGTACTGTTTTTTGTTCTCAATGAGGTGTGTGTATGCACGTATGTGTGTTTTTTTTACACAATAGGATGTGTCATGCGGGAGAAGGTTGTGATCTTTCTAACCTTGCACATATTTATTTATTTTACAGTTAGACTGGTGTTGAATTCACACGAGGTCATTCAGAAACGCTTTTACTTCCTGTGCCTTTTGAACAATGTATGTGTCCAGATAAATGCTTTTTTCCGGTTGAAGACTTGGGGAGAGAGAAAAAACATACAGGTTACCTTCACCTTCACATCCTGGTTTGAGGCAGTATTATATCCTCTGGTTGAACCAGTTTTATTTTTCTATCTTTAGCTTAACTGAGCATTGAGGTCTCTCTGTTCCCCTCAGCCTGAGTTTACAGCTTATGTCCAGGAATTTCTTAACCCTCTCAGGCTGGGTTTCCAAACCAAACTCTTTGGTAGATGAGATCTTCTATGTGGTGGCTGTGGCTGCAGCCTGGAGTCCACTCCTGAGAGGTAGAAGGTTAAGGAGGAATCGTCTGGAGGGTCTTGCTCTAGTTGTCACCGTGCTCTCCCTGGAAGCTGAGATGCCTCAAGCTCCCGATGCCTGCATTAGCATTAGGCTGTTCTCAAGGACCATACCAGTTCTGAATCTATTACAATGGCCAAGGAACACTCCATCTTTTTATGGGACTTCCAACCAAATCTTTCTACTTCTGAAAATGTACCTCACTCAGCTTTGTAAGTGAATGTAAAGTGCTAACCTCTTGGGGCCGAAAATGGGATCACTTGGCTTGGACTCCATTGCTGGCAATGGATACCTGGTGAACTGCTGGTGCAAAAGGGTTAATAAAGCTTTTTTTTATGGTCAGTTTGTCACTGGGTGTTGTTCTTCAGATGGATGGACATAAAGCTCACTATTAGCAGCTTGGCTTCTGCAGAGCTGCTGGTTTTCCTTTGCTTACGTCTTCTGCACAGGAGTGGGCTGGTCTGTAATGAAACCAGTCCTTTGGATTAAAGGCTATGCTTAGCCTTTGTTTTTTATAGTCCTTCACCAGATTTGTGGTTATGATAAATGTCTGGGAGGTGCCTGGCTTTGTCGTGCCATAACAAAGATTGTTGCCAGGACTGCGGTAGATCTCACTAGTCAGGTTTGTAGGGATAGTGCTATTTGCATCAAAACCTGCATGAGAAAAGCATTGTTGCTTGAAGGAGCCTGAGAAGCAAAATGTGACAATTTCAATTTATTTGTTCAGGCAAAAGATCAGTAGAGGGGAAAAGGAGCTCTGACCCAGCACCTTCACCTGGGAGCTTGGGGTAGGAGAAGTGAAGTTGATCAACTGAGCAAGAGTGTAGATCTATGAAAAACCGAGAGCAGCATCAGCCTTGCATGCTGTGGGTGAGGCTGTGCTGTCAAGTGAAGTGACAGAGTTGTTCTTCCTTATCTATTTCTTCTTGTCTGGGCTTTCTTTTCGGCTTCTTGGGAGGTAGGACGGAGCGAAACATCAGTCTTGCTGGTCTGCAGAGGAAGAAGAGGCGCCGGTGTCAGTGCTGCGCTGGGCAGCGTGTCTGAACCACGCACCTAACGCTGCCACGCTCCTGCTCAAGGGGCCGGGGCCCTGTGCTCTCTTCTGGACAGGTTTCACTGTGCCTGAGTGTGAGGTTTTTCTGCTAGAAAATGAGTGCCAAGCACTTTAAGGCCGTGGATGTGCTTGTGCATCAGCTTCTACAACCTGCTATTGCGCCTGCAGCTGGTTTCTGAGTAAAGCCTGATTTGTACCGTTGAGGAAGGCAAGTTGGAAGTCCAAAGAAATAGCTGCGGGACCCTGCAGAACCCTCTTGCTTTATCTTGAGTAGAGGGGCAGGGACTCGTGGTGCCTGTTCTCAGTAGCCCATGTCCTCACTGTCATGTTGACCCATGGGCTGTGGCCTGAAGCTTGCACACCTCTGGAATAACTGGCGGTGTGATTTACCTCCCAGCAGTTGCTTAAGTTACATCAGTCCTGTAAACTGGGCTACACGTGAACGTGGGTGCCACCCCCAAGCTGTAACACTCTTCCCTTAAACCCTTGCCATTCAGGTACCCCCTGCTTCCCTGATGTGGGCTGTTTGGTGAGGGGTTCCCATGGATTATTGCACTTACCTTCGTTTCCACAGTTACTTTCGACCTTTCCAGGACCTTTTTCAGTCTTTTCTCCGTCTGCTGCTCCTGTTGCCTCAGCTTTCCCTCCCTGAGCCTTTTGAAGGGAGCAAATAAAGGATTAATAAAATGCACTGAATATGCTTTTGACACACAGCATCAACATTTAACATTACATGTTACATCTGACAGTGTAGGACTACCGGAGCACAGGGGTTGGGTACAGCTGATGCAGGGGTTCTGCTGGGAAGGTGGTGAGAGGGAAACGCTTGCTGTAGTTGATCCTACTCCTTCTGGAGCAAGGGGTGGAAAAAGCATGTCAAGCTTTGCAGGTGGAGTTGTTGGGTGGTTGTTCTCTGTTGCAAACATGCTCTGTACCACTTTCAGCAGGTGACTTACACTCCACAGTTGACCAGGATGCTCACCAGTTTTGTGGGTGAAAGATGCTCATTGTGTCTGAAGTTCTCACCAGTGCAACCGTATAGTCCATGGAACTACTTTGACTAAATGGGCACAGTGGAGGCTGATGCTATTAACCAGCTCCAATTCCTTATGGAAATGAAGCTATGGGACAGACATGGTCTCAAGCTGTGGCACATTCTGGCAGAGAGGAAATGAATTCTTAACCTTGTGATCTTCAGGAGAGTTTTAAATGGTCTTTGGAGGGCTTTTTTTTATTGGTTGGATTTGCTTTTTATTTGAGGGTCAGATTCCTTCCTGAATTATTCTCCTTCTTCCATGGAGTAGAATAAATGCGTGTCCTATTTCTTCTGTAAGCTAAGAATGCAAAACCATTCACAGAACATTAGGAAGAAGCGTCACACCCTTTCTACTGCAAAGGTGAAGAAAGATGCAGAGAAAAAGAGTAAGTAGGAGGAAAATGTCACTGTTCTGGCTTTAAATCCTCACACTGTTTGGTTCTTCTCTGCTGGATCTGATTCACCTGAGGGTGGGCAGATACAATCAGCTGTCCAGCAGCATCTTTGCTATTTGCGAAGGGGCATTTCATGTGTGTGAGCCAAAGGGAATGTGTCTCATCTCAACCTACACTGCTTGTGTTAATTGGCTGCTGTTTAACTTAACAGTTTTGTGGAAGAAGGATTTAAGGGCTGGCATTGCTGACAAATGCCCTTATGTACCTACTGAAGCCTGACCAAGTATCAGGGCACGTCAGACCTTGAGTGTGTTAAATAACTACAGAGCAGTAGTTTTTCTATTTAATCAGTTTAAATACTGTTACTGCAGATTGTCTTCTTTAGATGATTATTCTCCTCCTTGAATCTGGTTTTGTTTGTGCTATTATTATTATTACCATTATTATTTATTATTCCAGTTTTGCCTTTTTCTAATGTAGCTTTCAGGTCTTTTCTAATGCAGCTGTGAGCTACTGGTTGGGATGTACAAGGACTATGAATGTGAAGCCCTTACAGAAGTAAAATGGGATGAATTGGTCACACAGGCTTTCGGTTTCCCAGTTGATCTGTGGCTTTGCTTTTGGCTGTCAGCATTAAAGGTAAAGGCCCCGTTCCCAGAAGAGTGTCCCGTCTTACTTTATCCTTCGTTCCTTTGCATGTTCTATCTTTTCTGGTGGGATTCTCTCCAGGATGTCGTTGAGCTTTTTCTCTAACACCATTAGCATCTGCACTGTCTGCAGGTTTTCCCCACTTTCCCCCGTGCACTGGCAATAGACTTCCTGCACCTTCTTCCTCAGGCTTGCAAGAATATTGTCCTAGAGATGAGAGGAGATGTGGTGAGAGGCGCAGCTGGGCTTTGCCCAGTAGAACCACAACATCCCTCAAAAGCAGAGGAAATCAGTGCACTTTAATTCCCTCAACAAAGCTCAATTGCTCATTTCCCTCTTTCCTGAGCACCAGTGTCTGGGATGGATGCATGTATGGAGCCATTCTCCTGTTGGTCTCATCTCCGCAGCTTCTCTGTGGCTTGGGATGGGTTGCAGCCCAGTTGCCTCTGTGAGCCCCGTTCCCACTTCATGGCACTGCATGGAGCAGACACATCACTTTGCTCCTCAGTAATGCCCCACAGCTGCCCTTGCTCCATTGCTGAGAAATAGCACTGATCCCTCCCCAGTGCAGCCACTGTGGGCTTTCTTCCCAGGATGGGTATGGCTGGCGGAGAGGAACCATTTATTCACTAACCCCCCTTTGCCTCCATCTCAACATGTACCTGGTCATCAGCTTTGCATTCTCCAGAGGAAAAGAGGTGAGCTTTGAGCTTCAGATCTGCTGCTCTCTCTTCTTCCTTGGCGATGGAGGACTTGAGGGTGGCCACCTCCTCTTTCAGCTCTGCTAACTCCTTCTCCCTAGGCCAGGAGAGAAAGGCGGGATATCGAGAGGGCATCTCTGAAACACACGACTCCTGAACTGCTGCTTTCCAGCCTGGGACTATCCCTCCTGGTGCCGGCAGATGGAGGTAACACTTCGTGCCATTCCTGAGGAACTTGCACCCATAGCTCCGCGGCAGAGGGAATTTGGGATTTATCTGGAAAACAGGCACCGTGCTGGTGTTGCGGGAAGAAGTGTCATAGCTGAACAGTGAGGATTTTATAATAACTGGTGGGGGAAGTAGATCACCTTTAGAAACTTCCCCAAGGGGATAAGCTACACTTTAAATGGGAATATGTGCGTTTACCTGTCACTGAAACACTATCCTGCAAATACACTTGGGTTCCCTGCTGCTTCCTCTAGGAAGGGTTTGCATTGAGCTGGAATAGGTGCTGGTCTGGACCACTCCAGGACATGCTTGGTGTCTTCCTTTGATCTTTCTGGATGAGAATTACATGGTACTTCTGGCTGATGTTTGCTCCAGGATCTGAATGCATCAGTTCCCCAGCCTGTGCCTTGAGGACTGAGGAACTAGTCCCGAGATCAAGTCCCATCTCCTAGAAGGGACACTTTCCTATGGGCTCACAAGATGGTGAGTTGGATGGGCTGCAGCTGGGCTCTAGGGTGTGACAGAGTCTGTTGTGTGCTGCATGAGCAGCGTTCCATGTGGTCTGCAGCGTGCAGCCTGATGGTGAGTGTTAGTGACAGGAAGAGGAGAGAGTCACTTATGTTTAGAGCTGGGGCACAGGGACCCCTTCCCACCACTTGCAGGATCACACTTACTTGCTTTCATAAGTGGTGATGAAAGTCTGTTGAACCTTGTGCAGACTTTCCTCTGCCTCCTGGGATTTCTGGATGAAGGACAAGTTCTCATCCTCCAGCTCCATGAAAAGAGATAGCAGTTGTTGGGGATCAGTAAAGTACAGCTCGGGGTCCTGGAGTGCAAAACACATGAGATGAGTTCCTGCCTCCCTCTTTTTGTTTTTCCATTGAAAAACCAACAACTTCGCTCATTTCCCAATCTCCCATTATATGATGTGATACAGGATCATAGAATCATTAGGGTTGGGAGGGACCTCTGCAGATTGTCTAGTCTAACCCTCTCACTGGGGGATGGCAAGCTCTGAGATGATGGTAGGTTTTTGGCAAGTGGTGGTGGCTACAGTAACTCCTCAATAGCATAATGATCAGTTAGAAGGTGAAAGCAATCAGTAAATGACACAGGACAAGCAAAAAATGTAAATATTCAGCATGAGACTCCTGACCTCATCTTCGCCCGAGCTGGTGTTGGTTTCTGCAGCCTCCAGTGAACTCCTGAAAAAGCATGTTGTGTATCAGCCCCTTGGAGAAATGACAGCTCAAAGGAGACTGTGTTAGTGAATGAGGAGCACTGTCGGTGTTTGCTGTTGCTGTTTACTCCTGCTGGCAGCAGAGCCTGCTCATCACCTTCACTTGGACCTGATCCCCTGTGCGACGGAGGGGTGAAAACCTCCATGTGCATCATCTCAATGCCAGCCCCACTTGTGTCTGCACCATTCCTGCCATGTGGCAGCAGCCCAGTAATTGCAGTGGCTTGGGAGAACCTGGAATCTGCAATGCTCTGAGTGGAGGCAGAGGAAAGAGCCCTGCAGCAATGATTTACTTCAAACTCTATCGATAGCCAGGTTTTTTGGCCTTAGGAGATTCACCAGCCAGTCCTGCTTTGCTTTTCCAGGCAATTGCTTTATTTGCCTCAAGAAGCTGGACCTGGACATACTTGTCTCATAGTCCCACCTGCCCTTCCTCTTTCAGGCAGGCCTTGCCTACCTTACAGCAGTGATGCTCTGCCTGCACCCCAGCATGTACTGCCTGAAGGCTCCTACTGACAGCAGTCAATGCAGGGGGGGTCTACAGTGGCCTCAGACCTTCGTTAAGGGCAAAACAACAGGCAGCTATTTGCAGGTCTATGATTCCTCCTGGGGTTATGTCAAGGCTCCCCCAAGTTCTTCAGGCAAGGCTCTGAGCAGAGTCTTTGAGGATGGAGGAGGCACATAGGTACTGACTCATGTGCCTGATGGATTTCTACTGCTATTTGGAGCTGTTCCAGCCAGACCCAGCTCTCTGGTTGCTCACAGCAGAGCTGAGGAGCGGGTTTCCTCTATGCTGACTCCCAGCCAGCTGAGGGCTTGCTCTCAGCCTGTTGTGTGCATTGTCTTCTACTTACATTTTCCTTGCTGATAGAGGCTTCAGGAAGTTTATGAGCTGAGGCTTGATCTCCCGCAAGGACTTGACAGTCAAACTCTTTGATGACAGCAGGGAACTTGGCACATCCATATTATTGGTACTGCAGGGACTGGCAGTGTCTGTCCCAGCTGTCCCACCCTGGCCTGGAGACAAGGAGAGATGAACCCTTAGAGCACGGGGCTGTCGCAGTGAGGGGTGGGCAGCTCTTCCCTGGCACTCACCCTGCTCTGCAGTGATGGGAGCTGAGGCATCTCCTTCTCTAGTGTTGGGTGGTGTTTTCACATCCCTCGGGCTTGTGTACCTTTTGCTACGTTCCCCCTGCCTCTCTTTGAGAGAGAGGTGACGGAGGAAGTTCCTGTACACCTTGTACTCCTGCAGATCGATTGTGAGTTGGGATATTTCACTGGGTCGAGAGAAGGGGACAGAGTTTGTTAGCAGGGAGGAAAGCCCCTGTTGGAACAGGTTCTTTCTAACTCCTGGTAGTCAGCATCAGCCACAGAAGGGACAATAGGACACGTGTCTTCACGGACATGCAAAGGTAAATGGGAACCTGCCCTGTGTGCTCCCTGTGGTTCTTCATGTTGATGCTGCCTGGTCACATCCCTGTGGCCAGACCGTTGCTATGGCACTGAGCTTGCTGGTTTGGGAATTTTTCCTTGAAAATGCATGAGAAATCTTGCCAGTTCAATCCACAATGGGAATTAGACAGTTTTTTACATCCTTCCTCAGGTCACTGTTAGAATGCATTACTTAGTTTTGTTTGGTTTTTAATGAGAGACTGGACATTTCATTTTGGGTTTGGGATATTTATACTTTTGAAAAATATCACAAAATATCTGATTGAGTTGTTTTAGAAACAAAACTGGCATCTGGAAAACAAAAGCTGAGACATTTGGACCTAAAGAAGCCTGGAGAGGGGCTTTGGACAAGGGCCTGTAGGGACAGGACAAGGGGAATGGCTTTAACCTGCCAGAGGGGAGATTGAGATGAGCTCTGAGGCAGAAGCTCTTCCCTGGGAGGGTGCTGAGGCGCTGGCACAGGGTGCCCAGAGAAGCTGTGGCTGCCCCATCCCTGGCAGTGTTCAAGGCCAGGTTGGACACGGGGGCTTGGAGCAACCTGCTCTAGTGGAAGGTGTCCCTGCCCGTGGCAGGGGTTGGGACTGGAGGAGCTTTAAGGTCCCTTCCAACCCAAACCAGGCTGGGGTTCTATGGCTCTCAAAACTGAACATTCTTAGAAATCTTTTTCCCAATTCCCTGTTTCCCAAGGGCTGGCGGGGAGGGGGGTGGCGCTGGAAGGGCTGTTAAAGGTTGAGCAGGAATAGTGGAATAGTGTGCAGCTGTTACTTTTGGAGGTTCTCGATTTGGGAAGTGACCCCCTGGATCTCCGATATTTTCTTTGTCTTCTTTTCAGCTTCTTTTGCAGCACTAGGGAAGAATACATGAACATCAGCTGTGAAACAGTGCAGCAGGAACAGGGAGTGACTTGAGGTGCTTATGAAACAGAGAAAAAGATGTGAGGGGAGTGCTAGAAATCCCTGCTATCCGTGTGTCCCGGGAGATGCTGGGCTCCTGCCTGGCTTAGCAAAGACAGCATGGGGGCCCAGCGATGCTTCCAGGTTAAAGCCTTCCTAATACGGCTGCTGCTGAGCATCAACTGCTGCTCTGCCCCTGTGATGCCAAAGTGCTCTGCTGGCTCCACTTAGGGAGCTGCTCCTGCTGTGAGGGTTCAGGCAGAGGCATCTCCCTCTTGCAAGGGTGTTGGGAGAAGGATGGAAGTGGTGGGGTTAGCAGCAGATTCCTTAAGGTTTTTGCAGTGAGGGGATTCCCCAGCTATTATTCTTTCTCTCTTTCATTGAATGCGCAGGGAGAAAGTGCCACCAGGGCTGTAACTCCAGGCAAGCTCAGGATAGAGGATTTGCCAGCCAAAACCCTGCAGGAGGTCAGGCAAAAGACCTCCTGTGTCCAGCACAAAGGAGCACACGTGTGATTCCCTCAACATCCCTTACATTTTCAGGGCTTGAAGAGACTGTTTCTGTTTTTCCTTCAGGAACTCTTCAAAAATGGCAGTTTTCTTACTCAGGTACTGTTCAGCCTTTTTCACTTTCCTTTCCTCATTCTTTGCTATCTTCTCCAGCCTTTGAATCTCCTCTCGCTTTACTGTTATGTCATTCTGAAATGAACCCAAAAGGCAACACAGTCATGTTGGTTGGTTGATGTTGAAGGTATGTTGCTTTAGCTTTGTTCTTGGCTACCTTATTGCGTTATAGTTATTGGTGGAGAGGGTAAGGATTTCAAACCAAGGTATGTTTGTCTTAATGCAAACTAAGTACATAGAGGCCAGGAGATATTTCAGAAGGAGCATGGCAAATAAAAGGTGAAATTAAAGAGAGAATCCAGAAATCCCAGCACTGCATTAACTCCTGGCTGACAAAGGTTGATTCTGTCTGTTACAGCACAAAAATAGAGGTGAATAATGGGGATATTCCAGCATGGCTCCCTTATTTTGAGTTCAGAATGGCTCCCAGCTATAATTTATATATAGGACAGCAGGAGCCAAAAGGTCAGTATATATATGATATATATACTAAATAGATAATATATTTTGATATATAATATACAATGAAATAGTTACTAATGGATGGTGCAAATGATCTATGTTCTGTTCTTTCTTGGTTGGGGATTGCTGGGGTATAGACTGTGAGTGTCTTTAACACAGGACTTGGACAATCAGTTCCTGAGGTCTGATGTGCCCTTCCTTGGTATGGTCTCTAGGAAATGAATCTTGGGGGAAAAAACCCCACAACCAAACCAAAGCAATACAGGGAATAGAAATTAATAGAAAGTAACATTCTTAAAGCCAAGTACCTCAAGTAACAAGATCTCTTTCCAGACATTTATGTAGTCACGGAAGGTCTCCTTTTCTACTGGGTAATCTGAAATGAGGAGATAAAGTTGATCAGACTAGAGAAGGAAATATGGCCAAGGCAAAACACAGTGGATATGTAGGCTGTCATGAGCACGGATGTGGCTGGCACTGGAGCCAGCAATACTGGTTATTATATTGTAGTTTTGACCTTGTTTAGGATCAGTTTCATATGGGCTTTTGTGAAGTAAAACCAGGCAGAATAGAATGGAGAATCTGGTCCTTACAAAGGTTGATGTGCTCTAGACATCAATAGCAAAGCTGCTCCTCATGTCAGAGGCTCACATCCACTAAAATCCAACTTTAAGTCAGCTTAGTATTAACGTCTCCCTGGCACAAGGTCCTGCATGCTCTTAGCTGACTCCCAGCTGATTCTGAGAGCTCCCAGCTACTGTGAAGGCCACAGGGGATGGTGGAACCCAGGCTATGGGAGTGGAGGCGACGCATGCTCCATAGGTATGAGATGGAGATGGCCCACCCCACAGAGGCTGGCGTGATGCAGTGTGTAACTTGTGTCTACACGAGCTCACCAAAGTCAGCCGGAACTAACTGCTGCTCCCATCCCCTCTCTGAGTTTTGCTTTAGGCTGTCACTCAGCTGAGCAGCACCACTACAAGGATACTAACTGCTCCCTACCTTTTTTAGAGGCTATCTGCCGTAGAAGACTCTCCTGAAGAGCTTTCAGACTCTCTTCATTTGTTGCCTGTTTTCTGGCCTCCTCCTTTTCCTCCTCTTGCAGAGCTTGCCTTAACTCCTTTTGCTTTGCTTTTACTTTAGTGGAGTAAGTGGTTTTCTCATGGATTTTCATGGTCTTCATCCTTTCACGTTCCTATGAGGAGGCAGTTATATGCTCAGTTTGATTATGTGCTTTGTTTGCTGTGGGTTTAAAGGCATGAGGGGTTATTCACAGTCTAGAAACCTGCAGGTTCCCGATCCCCTGCTGCTGCACATTTGCCTGGTTCATCTGACTAATGCCCGTGATACTGTCCCTCAAGGCAAGCAAAACGCTTCCTTTCTTAGCATTTGTTCTCATTAGTTTGTTGATTTGGATCCTGCATCCAGCCACCAGCTGTGCCAGTTCGTACCTATCCCTGTCCTCATTTTGCCTTCCTGGGTTATTCCTGGGAGAGAATGGAAATTTTCAGAGATTCATCCTTCAAGTCCCCTCATAAAAGGGAACAAGAGGAGAGCCCACACTCAATACTGACTATTCCAACTGTCACAAAGGCATGTAAACCTTCAAGTTCACATTGAGGGGATCTGTTTAAACCCACCCCAGAGCTTCCTGGAGGGTAAAAGGTTTTTCATACTCAGTGCTTTCACATGGGCTCTAGAGCAATTCATTGCTGTCTGCAGTTTGGACGTGGGTTAGGCTGAGGACATTGCTCAGCAGACATCCTTAGATCCTTAGACATCCTTTCTAAGCCCTTCCCCATACTTACAAAGTGACCTTCCATCTGAGAGAAAACCAGACTATATCAGTCATCAATATGAAGTGAGGAGGCTGCTTAAGCTTATTTGGAGCCCTCCTTTTGTGATTTAGAAACAAAGACCTCTTGCTTCAACACTGCTGCCTGGCTTCTGTAACTTCGTGCAGCAATCAGACCTCTCAAAGATGTGACAACCTCTCCCTTTGGATGGCATGCCCTAAGGGAAGTCCACTGCAGAAACAGAGACATACCTGGAACCCAGGTCTCTGTTCTGGTGGGCTGCAATTCACTGTCTTATGGCAAGAAACCTAAGTCATGAAACCCCTGTCATCCTTCTTCCCAGCCATTTCTTTTGCTGGCAGTTCAGAAGGTGGTCACATCCAACATTGGAATACAGCTTCCCAAGCAGAAAGCCAAGCCTTTTGAAGTGGAAAGCAAGAGATCTTGCACCAAAACTTTATATAGAAATCAATGCTAATAGCACTGGCAGGTATCTTCTCAAGGAACATGAATGGGTGGTAAATCTGCCTTGAAGCAGGTGAACAAAGTGACAATATCCAGCTTTTGCACCAGCAACAAGAAAGGCTGTGCTTAGGTCTGCTCTTGGTCAAGTTAATCTCTCATCATGGACTTGAAACTGATCTGGGGAAACCTCAGCTGAATCTGGCAGCTACTCTTTCTCTCATGCACTAAATTTTGGTGTTATATTGGTTGGTTGCCTGCCCCGGTGCACTGCTTGTATATACATTTGCCTAAAGCATGTTTACGTACCTCCCGAGCCTTTTGTCTTTCCTTATCCCTTATTGAGAATATATCAAAATCTGGAGGAACTGCAAATGGGTTTTTCTTTGTTTTTTCTTCATCCTTTTCTGGGCTTCCTGCAAAAAAAGGATGAGGATGTAGAAGACACGAGGCAGAATATCAGGATTGGTGCAAGGAGACTCTGATCTGCTGCATCCCACCCGAAGGGGGAAGATGTCCAACAGTGCTGAGTCAAGAGCAGGGAGCTGGACACAGCTACTAAGATGCCAGTGGTACAACTGAGACCTCTGTACTATTTACTGGTGTCACTTGACCGTATCTGCTGACCAGCTCAGGATTTCAGCCCAGGGATTCTTGTAAGTCTGGAGCTGTTCTACCATCTTGTCTGGTGATGGGCAGAAGAGTCTGAACACAGGCTTCTCCTTTGACCTGACAAGGAAAAGCTGCTAGAGCATCATGGTCTTACCTGGCAGCACAAGCTGGGATTCCATTCCAGTTTTGGAAAAGAGACTTTTAGATGTTGACATTGTATGTGCAGATGACAGTCTTGACCCTGGACCAAGTAAAACCATAATCAAATCAGTCAGTTGAGACCTGCCAGTAACTGATGAAGTAGGTTTTACAGACTGATGGGCCCAGGGGCCTTCTGGATCTTAACCACTGAGCCTTTTGTGTCTGTAGGAATTAACAAAAGGCTTCAGTCAACTGGAAAATATTTGTGTTCTGACCCCAAAAGGAAGATGTTCAACCCTGGCTTATGTGAAAGCTGTGTAAAACACAGTCCCCCTTAGGCACACACTGATGGGAAAGCAAAGACAGTCCAATTTGGAGATTACAAGCAACTCAAGACCCTTGTCTGTTCTTCTACCCACATCTCCAGGTCTGATCCACACCCACACTTTTTCATCCTCCTATTGCTGGTTCACAAGCAACATTCGTGCTCCCTAAAGCTCTTACCAGGAACTGCTTCATCACTGTGGGTTTCTTGCAATAAGGCTGAATGGTTGGACTGCACAGACATGCTGCAGGGTACTCTGTCGTGTTTAATTTTAGGCTGGCAAACTTGAAGGTTAGGCTTTGGTTTTGCTGAATCCTGTCTCTTTTTGTAGCCTTTGTTATGGTTCCTAGGGGAAAAGGTGTAATTGTAATGAGCTCACTTACAAAGAACAGATACACCATTGTTGAAGTTGCCCTTTCATCAACAAAAGTAGCAAGCTGGGTCCAGCGAGGTATTAGTGAATTGATGCAATTCTGCTGCTGAGACCATTCCTGATCCGTGTTGGCATAAGACACACAAGAAAATATCCTCTTTCACTCGCACTGGTTTTAGGGCTATTTTAGAGCATCATTTCTCGCTCTGAACAGCCTCCAACTTCTAAGCATTTCGAGCTAAACTCATCTGGCCTAATTTCTATGTATGCCCTTGGTGCTTTGTGGTTCCTATTGGCTGTGTTTCTGCAGCTGCCCAATTAGTGTCTTATTCGTTGGAGGTGTCAAACCTTCGCTGTTGATGAGACACAGAGGCCGAGGTAGAATTTAGACTGTTCCAATACAACCTAAATGTTTTCTCTCTCTTTCTCAGTTCTTGAAGAGCCTTTTCCAAAAGCCCCCTTGACGTGTTGGTTAGGTTTCGTGTTTGCATAACTCGAGGGGATATTTTTCTCCAGGGGTCCCTCATCTACATCCTGGAACAACATAACCCCTGCTGCTGATGTGAGTTTTGGAGAAAACCCCACCAGGGCAGGGGCAGGAGGGCAAACGCCTGCGGCATTCCATGGAATACACTTTGTGGCCAGCAAACACTGGGATGCTCAGCCCTCTTGGTGCACTTCTTGGTTCTATAATCTAAACCCCTTCTCATAAACATCTTCATGTGGTTGATTTAAATTTCTGCTACAGGGAATGGGACTGAAAAGCAGGACTAGGCAGAGAATACTGGCATATGGAAAACAATTGTCAGTGCAACCCTTTGAGATAAAAAGTGCTTTATAATAGAATTTTAGCCAAGTATAGGAATCTGTTTCTAAGATTAACTTATAAATATTCGCTTTATCGAGGTATTTTTTGTTTGAGGTTGTTGGGCTTTTCTAATAGGTTGTTTGCACATCACTTTGGAAACAATGCCAAAAGCTACACAAGTGCTGGTTGGGGGAATTATAATTATTAAGCTCAATAATGCAAATAAAGATGTAGCTTTGTTGCCAGAATCCTTTGGCATATATTTTACTGCCTTTGACACTTTAATGTTTCAGTAGCTACATACCAATAGCCAATAGATAAGACATTCATGGTTTTAATTTACTGAAACATTTATTCAGCCCTTTTCCCTTAGCACCAAGCTGCAGGAAAAACCCTGCCAAAGTAAACAAGCAAACAGCTCTCAAAACCAGCACAAATCCATCCTCCGTGTTCCCGGAGCACCGGATGAGCCTCTCTCTTATACACTCAAATGACTCCAATGATCCCATCACTTGCAGGGAGGGCTCGTTGTGCTCGCTGGGAGACCACTCCGAGGTGGAGCTGCAGAAAAAAACCGCCCTGTTTCCCAATACATTCCCTCCGCTTTCCCACGGGGAAGGAGGGGGTTAGTGCGTGGTGGTACACACCAGCACCTCCACTTGTCTGAGCGAGACACTGAGTCTGACGTTGAAAACAGGAACTCCTGTGCTTGCCCTCACCCCTTTATTCTCTGGTTTCTCACCCAAAGGAGGGCTCCTCGGGGCTCCTCTCCGCGGAGGGAGCCGTGCTCATGGATGTGGATGGGGCCGTTGTTGTGACATGCCCGCAGCTCGGCGCTCTCTCCCGTCTCTCGTTCTCTTGTTTGCAGTGCTATGGAGACCTGCGCTCCTGTTGCCAGGCAGCACCCGACCCGTGCATGGGAGGGATGCAGCCCCCGCTCCCGGCGGGAAGTCTGGGATCCCTGGGCTGCGCTCGATGTGCTCCGCTGGAGGAGCTCCGGCAGCAGGGGCTGAGCTGCGGGAGGCTGTTGGTGAGCTAAAGGATGCCAGGGAAGGGAGGGA